TTTTTTTTTCCATGTTTTTCAATTCTTCTATTTTTTTATTTTGTATTTTTTCCTGCCCTCACATATTAACCTCTTCCCAATTAGTTTTCCCTTATTTTTTCCCTCAGCCTTTTTCCTCAAAAGCTGCCCACTGAGGTCACTTTGCTTTCTTCAGCTCTCTTCTTTTACCACAGCTGTCTGCCCACCCCTGCGGAGCTCTCTGATCCCAGCGCTCCAGCACTGCTCCCACTAACAGGCATCACTCAAAGCATGCATCTTGTAGCTTGAGAGGTAGCAGAGGAGGAAAAAAGGATCTTTCCTCTATAGGTGCCTGTGTCATTGCAGTAAGAACTACAGAGAGAGAGAGTTCACAAAAACCAGAGAGGACAAAACAGGTGAGAGCTCTAACCAGTGAATACAGATACACGTTACATCTTTGCATTGCTCTTATAACAAACAACACACCACACAGTCTTTACCCAGAGTCCTGTTTCCAGCATCACTGGTGCTGTGTGCTCTGTGTGGGGGGTGATGTGGCAGTGGCACAGGAGATTGCTGCACTACGGATTAGAGGAAAAGCTGATGTGTGGAGTCTGTGAGGCAGGGCAGCTCTGGAAATGGCAGCTGTGTGCTACCGTTCTCCCTTATTTCCTTGTTTTTAGAGATTTGCATTAGCTACATCATTTCAGTGCAACAGTTTTGAAAGTTTTTTTCCTTCCAGCTTGCATTCAAGAATCTATTATGTTATTTAGGGTTTTTAAATGTTTGCACATTGATCTGTTCATGAAAGGAGAGAAGGCAGAGTTTGGCAGTGGCCCAGAAGTGTGTCACAGAAGCACGGCTGCTGATAGCATGCTTATCTGTTGGCTAGCAGGAGACTGTATCTGTAACATAAATGCATCTACATATTGAATTTTCTCTGTCAGAGGATTAAATCCACCAGGAAAAAAAATATAATTCACAACAGAGGACAATTCTATATGGTGGAAATTTATTCAGACTGTCTGCTTAGTATATGTTCATTATTATGGTTAAGTGGCAGAACTTAATGTTTGATCCTAAACATTTATTGACAAATGCACTCCTAGGACTGCTCTAGCAATCTGTGAATTAAACTTTATATAGAGAAAAGCATTGCTTTAAACATATAGGAAAAAAAAAAAAAAAAAAGATAGGTTGACACAAATATCAGTAAGTGCTCCATTTGAGCAACTTTTAGTAAGTATCTATGCTTTCTTTGTGATTTTCTTTCATCAAAGGCACTAATCTCATTTTTTTCCAAGAGTCCTGATTACAAATCTCATGTTTCTGTGGCATTATAAAAATCCTTCAGACTCAAAGCTTCCAGAATAACTCTAGGCATATTTTGGCTTTTCTGCCATGTAAGGAACCCTCCCTTTGCTGCTGTTTCAAGAGCAAGAGCCTTTCCTACTATTGAAATTCAGAACTCAGAACTCTGAAGAGATGAGAAGGGAGCAGTGGACCACGCATCCGCATATGTATTGGAGAGCAAGAAATTGTGCCCTGCTTTAAACCTACTATAGATCACTATTGACTATGGAATTATCATCAGCACCTTTATAATATGATTATTATAGAGAGCTATTATAGCATTTGTTGTTTTTGTTTGTTTGTTTTGTTGTTTTCTTTGTTTTTGTTTTTGTTTTTTTTTTAGTTAGTGTGCCAACTTCTTAGAGAGATTATTGTGTTTCAGTAGGTATTATGTCAGATCAGATCATGTCTCTCCAATTTGTACCCTCCAGCAGCATCTCTGAATTCAAAAAACCTCTGTGTTTCACAATCACCAGGACCAAACGAACAGTCTGATCAGGGAACACTGGGGATCCCTGTGCCATAGCACACGAGCCTACTGCACTCAGCTCACAAACTTGCACTCACCATGCTCACTTGAGGAGGAGGCTGCAGAAAGCTGTCTTGCACACAGACCTGCAGTCAGTCATAACTCAGCCCTGGTCCTGCCCTGCCTCCCTGCTCTGCTGCCCTTCTGGTCACCTCACTAGAAAGAGAAGAAGTTTGTCTGTCAGGCTTCCTAAAAAGATAGTTAAGGAGTATGTAAAATCCAAACCTGTTCTTACATTTGCTT